TCAAATCATCATCCATATCTCGAATTCTCTTATTTTTCTTTTTTCTAGTTTTCTTCTTCAATAAAGTTTTTACTTTTCTTTTTAAGTTTTTACTTTTCGCTTTTATTTTTATTTTAAAATGCTAAGTATAATTTCTATAATACTTAGCTAAGTATGATTTCTATAATACTTATCTACGTTTTTCATAGCCAAAGACGGAAGCAATTACTCAATTCCTAATGTGATAATTGAAAAGCACCTCATACTCTTTTGGGTTAAATTCTCAATTTTTTGGAAACTAGATTGGCTATCGGTCTTTCTTAAAATCAAAACTCTTTCAGTTCAAAATTAGATTTTGGCTTGGATGTTGTTATAGTTTAACGTTGGGATTATAAAATCAGTTGATTCAAATTCCCTCGAACACACTTAGAGAATGGCACGCTAAGGGAAATTGGGATCGAGTTCGACTTTCATTGAGAAAACATAATTTGAGTCGGGTTTTTCCAAGCGTTTTTAAACTGTTTTGAGTTAACAATGATAGTCGAAGTTAATCTAAACAAGGATTGTGATTCCTAAAATAGATTTGACAAAATCAATCATCAAAGAGGAAAATAAGCTACAAGGATTGAACCTTGCGGACTCAAACCAATATTTAACCAGGGGAAAATCCTATTCAATAATCAATTGGAATTTGAGGCACGCGAAAGTCTGAGACTGTTTTTACCACATAAGTTTCATCTAAATTAATTTCTTTATTTTCTTTAGACTTAATTTTATTTTATTTATAATCTTTCAATCTCCCCCCATTTTTATCTTTTAAATTTCGCCCAGATCAAGAACAACTGCATCAGCAGCTTCCATAGTCCATGTGGATCGACCCTTAATCTCTCTATACTATTCTATTTTATTTTTATTGAGATTAAGGAATATTTTATTTTTGGAATTGAAACGACGCGTTGTCAGCGGTCCTATTGGTACCCATGGAGCACGGAACGAAGATCATACAAGGCTTGCACGGCGAGGGGAAGGGGATGGAGACGATGTCGATGAGGAAAAAGGGGTTTAGGGATTTTAAAATTTTGATTAGGGGAAGGGGATTTGGGGATAATCCCAACCGATCTCTTTAAAATATATATATATATATATATATATATATATATATATATACCCCTCTAACAAAAACAGCGCTAGTTACGGTTTCAAACTGTGCTAGCCGCAAAATTTGATTTTTTTTTTCTTTCATAACCAACAATGGGTGTAGTCACCATATTTTTCTTCCGACCCCTTTAATATAGATTATTATTATTTTTTATTGTTATTATTAATATATTATTATTATCATTATCATTTACTAAATTTTATTTACATGCACAAATCAGGCCATAATACAAAATCAAAATACCCATCACCCAAAGCCCACAAAAGGAGGCCCATTGGGATTAGGGTTTTGTATCTTTCTCCTCGTCTACCAGAAGCCTTGACAGTTGGATCAGATCTAATCTGACAGTTTAGATCAACTACACTATTTAGGGTTTTATCATTAACCCTAAATATTATTATAATCGTCGGTGTCATCACTAAAGTCAGTGCCTCAGCCAAACAATTCTAGCCATCGTTCCCAGATCTGTCTCATCACCCAATCGTGTCGATCGTCGAAGCCATCTTCAAGCTGGAGCCACCGAACCTGGTCTCATCAAAATCCCAACACAACCTCAGAAAATACGGGGCATTAAAAATGCAAATCACCACCATATTTTGGCAAATGATGATTGTCAGGGAACAAGTAGAGGTTAGGTCTTATTTTTGTAAAAAAAAATGTGTATTTTATCTTTGTAAAATTCGGGTATAAAACCCCAAAAAGAACATGTAAAATGAATCTTTTTACCCTCATTTTTCGAAAAGAAATACAAATCCAAAAAAAGTTTGAAGGTAAAAGTTTTTTCTTTCTTTCTCTTATTTACTGGCAAGTTTTGAATAAAAAATAAAAACAAAGAGTGAAGTCTTTTACCTATTTTTGTGGGTCTCGTCGGGGTCGAAGCGTTGCGGAGTTGGGGTGTGAGTAAAAGAGGTTCTTTTTATAGATATAGGTTTAAAGAGGTGGTTTAAGGCTTGTTTAAGTGTTGGTAGGCTCTTATTTTAGACTAGGAAAGGTAGATCGAGGAGTTTAGGTTCGATTTTAGGCGGTCTTGAGGTCATCGGACCACCGTAGTCGGTGGCCGACAGCAATGATAGACAAGGAGGGGGTGTCAGTCGACAGAAATAGGGAGAGGGTCGAGAGAGTTTGATTTTTTTTTTCTGTTTTAAAGTTAGAAATGAATCAAAACAAAAGAAATTATCTTTTATAGTAGGAGTTTAAAGGTAAATCTTGCTTTAGTCCCAATAGGTTTACCGTGTTTTCACAATGTGGTCACATGTTCGTCCTTTTTTATTATTATGTTTGAATACATGTAATTAGAATTAAATTTTACATTTTTTGCATTTCATTAATTATTCTGGTTTAAATTTATGGGTTATTTATGTTGAGATCCCCTACTTTACGTGTGAATTTACATTCTGGTCATTGATCTCGTACCTATTTATCTTATTTCAATTTTAATGTCCTAATAGTGCTATTTCACCATTTTTTTATTTAGTGTATTCTTGTTACAAAAGGAAGAATTGCAATTTGATCCCCCTAAGTTGCGCATGAATTTGCACTTTAGTCCCTATTCGTGTTTAATGTTATTTTATACCATCTAATTTGGTTTATTATTTTATTTTAATTTAATTCCTTATATTTTATAATTATCATTTCATTTAATTGTTATGTTTATCAATGCATTGGTTTCCTAATTTTATTTTATTGTGTTTTTATGTTTTTATTATTATCCTTAATTTCTATGATTTGGCCCTTGATTTATGTTTTCCTTCTTAATTTTTCCTGAAAATATGCCTAACTTATGTTTTTCCCCTATTTTTAACTTATTATAGTTTTAGATAGTAACTTTGATTTAGTTAAGATTCAGCCTTTACATTGTTAACTAAAATATTTAGTTTATTCCTTTTTCGTTCATATTAATCAGTTAGTTTTCTACTTATTAATTTTCTTTAATGTAATTGTATATGATATATGGAGTTTTCTTTATATAAATATAAAATTATTTACTTATATATATATATATATATATATATATATATATTTATTAGAAAACTTTCCTTTAATTGATTTATGATGTAAATAAATTTGGTGCATATTAGTTTTTACTTACATTTTACTCTATTGCTTCAAATTTATTTTATTAATTCTTTCAATTAATTGGATTAATTTCTTAGTTTTTTTTTAGTGTAATGAGAGCTTTAGATTTAGGTTCTTATCACCTAGACTCTAATTTAGGGAATAATTTGATTTTAGCTCTCGCATTTAGATGTTCGAGTGCTCATTTCGATTATTCGATTCAACAAAAAGGATAATTAATTAGGGTTAATAATTAGAGCCTTAGTCTTAGCTTTTTCACACTTTAGTCCTTGAACTTTCTAGTTAGATTTTTCATTTGACATAATTAATTAGTTAATTAGAGCCTCCACTTTAGGTTTAATTTCACCTTAGTCCTTTTATTTAGGGAATAATTCGATTTGGCTTTCACATTATGATGCCTGATGGTTCAAATCAATAATTGATTAGAAAAAATTAGGATTAATATTAGGATTCCACTTTCAGGTTTAGTCCTTTAAGTTCTTTAATTTTCATAATTTGATACTTTACGATAGAGAAAACCTTAATTAATTATGTAGTTTAATAAGGTCCAATAAATGGATTGTTTGATTATATTTCGATTTCACAACTGAGGCAATGTTGATTTACAAAGGAATTAATGGTATAGTTCCCGCAATCATGCTCTGGGGGCGACTACTGGTAATTCCTGAAGTAGATGAACATCCTTTTCAAAACCCTTTATTTTTTAAAATTTCAAGGCAATGTCTGGTTATTGAGCACAATAATTGATCGCCCACATTCGTGCTAGGGGTGAATATTATTAGCTTTAATAAACGAGCACCCTCTTTAACTTTGCATCCATAGTGATTTCTAAATTAAATAAAACTTTGAACTCAAAATTTTCAATTTTTAATATAAGGTAATCGACTAGTTATCAATTTCTGGGCGCTGTGGGGTGCTAATCATTCCCCACCCGTAATTGACTCCCGAAACTGCTTTAAGGTTTTCAGATACCTAAACTTGGTATTTTGATAAAAAAATTTAAAATGTTTTATTAAAATTACTCATTTTTTAAAGCGTCTTAATCGCACCTTAAAATGATTCATGGCAACTCCCAACATTTCTAAAACCTTTTCAAAGAAAAACCCCAAGTCATACTAGTTTTTCCTACCGGGCGAAAAATGGTGTTGACAATGGGTAAATCCCAGATTAGGTCCCTAAACTTTTAGAATTTCAAAAATTAACCTTAGGTTTTTAGAGTTTCACGATTAAACAAAAATTATGTAAAAAATCAAATTAAAGTAACTAAATTAGGGGTGTCACAATAATAACATAATCAGATGTTATACTCTGACCTTGGATTGAAAAACCACCTCTGACCTAAACTTTTATGTAAAAAAAAGAAGAAAAAAAAACATGCTCTTAGTCATAGCATGATTCCGACTCCCATGAAGTTATTTCAATAAGAATATACGAAATATGATAGATTTTAAGATGTCAAGTTTAGTGATTGTTTTTTATTTTAAAAGTTATGAGTTTCAATAAATGGTTTGCAGGCATTGTCAATGATTAAGAAAGATTCCATCACCTTAAAATCACTCAAATTAAGGTTATCTATCAAACTCAGTTTACACTATTCGTAAGTCAAAATTCAAACTCTTGATCTTAATATATCATTTCACTATACCAACTGATTGATTGACAATAATATTGTTTTTAAAATTGAAGGTTGCATCAAGTATTGATGAACACTCCACGTTCCATGACAAGGACAAACAATTCCATTCCATATCAAGTGGGATTATTTAAAGAAAACAACATAAATGAGTTAAAAGAAAATCATTTTAAGCACCCAATAGCTTAATGTATACATTCAACAATTCATATGACAGTTTTAAAATGCTATTAGCCACATCAATCAGTTCAGCAACCGCGGGACATTTTAAGCCGCGGCAACAGTGCCAGCCGGCCTCGCCTCAGGTTCTGTTGGAGAATCCCAGAAGGTGGTCTTCTTTCCGGTCTTGGACACAGTTTGCAGAACCGCATCGGGCTGGACGTTGCCCTTCACGGTCACTTTCTGCTCCTTCAAATCTACTTCAAAAGTTTCCACACCTGAATAGTGATTTATGATAAAACATATGAATATTAGTGATCATTATTCTAGTTCTTCAAATCTGATTTCGTATTGTTTGTATGATACTATATAAAATATTTTTGTTGCTCGGTAAGGATTGATCTGTACACTCGGGGGGGGGGGGGTCAGCCTCTAGCTTCAATTCTTAGGAATTGATCCCCTATACGGAAAAGATCAATTCTTTTCTGCTTTGCTTCAAGGACAGATTGGTCGGATCAATCTTTTTCCTTTGGTTCGCCTTTTGGAACAGGCCGGACACATTTCAAAAGAACAAGACATTTTCGGAAAAATGGGTTAATTGATTGTTCACCAAACTATTATTTTCTGATGAAGAACACCGGAAGTCCTTTTTCTGCAAAACAATTGGACCTAAACTAATCTGCTTCTCCAATCTAATGGATGTATGTAATCTGCTAGCTTAGAAAGTGGTTCTCACGGCGAAAGAATACAACGGAAGCAGTCGTTTAACCTAATTTCCGATGAAACTAGCCTCAGAATATGGCAGATGATCATCACGAAAGAACAATGTGCTAACAAAAAGCAAGAGTTACAACACACCTTGCATTTTCCCCAGAACTCTCTTCACGGCTCCAACGCAGCCTTCACATGACATACCAACCTTGAGGACAACAGTCTGCAATTCAACCGAATCAGAACACGGTTTACAACATCATCAGAAGAAACCTTACAAAAGCAATGATCATTGGTTAACAACCATGAACCACAAGACAAAAACGAGGCGAAAACATAGAATTAGATGCTTTTCGAAATTGAAATAGATCATGGGAACCATTCATAAGAACTTGGTGGTCCACCAACACAGGTAGAATGGAATTCCATGAAACCAACCAACCACTCCATCCAGGATGAAAAGCATCTCACGGGAATTTTATATTTATCTTATAAACTTTTAGAGGACGAAAACATATTATCGATCCAAAACACCTAAATTATATTAGAATTTGAAAATTTTAAGTGCCGACCGCCCCGCCAGCCTCCTCGGTCCTTCCCTAATCTCAGTTCACCCATAAATTGAAGGTCAACTCAATGAGAAACCAGAAACAATGCCTCTATTCGATTAGAAAAACTAAAAGATAATATAGATTATCACCATTTAAAAATTTATGCCCAATCATGTAAACCGATAGGGTTTTAAATTTGATTTCAACAACACCTAAATCAATCAATTTCATTCTTTCTTTAACAATTTATTCCATAATCCTCGAAACCCAGAAATTGTTTTAATATTTCAATCCTAAAGTTAAACAGATAACGACCCAGATACCAAAAACCAAGAGTCAAAGCCTAAACATAGACTTTTCCCAACATACAGAAAACAAAACACAAATTTGGAAAAGCTTCATCCAAAAGAACGAAAAGGAATCAAAATATTATTGGAAAAGTAAAAGCAAAAGAAGAAAGTTACCTGAGACATGGCTTTAGAATTGGAAATTCAAAGGGAGGAAGAGGAATCAGAAGATATTGTTGAGGATGGGGTATGATGCTAAAAAAGGGTCGAATTTTATAGAAGAATCATTGGTGGGCGCTGGTGGCTTGGACCATTTCTTCCGTCTTCAACGTAACGTGACGTCCAAACCCAGAAAATTTTCAACCATTTTCTACCTTTCCAGTTAATTAGATTTGAATTTAATTGCATGTATTTGAATAATCACCTTAATTTATAAAATAATTTTTCTTAATCAAGAGTATAAGATGATATTTATTTAAATGTATTTAATAATTTAATAATAAACATTCATACTGGTATTCAAATATGTTGTTTTAATAAATGTTTAAATTAAAAATTCGTAGTCAAACTATGTTTTTTAAGTATTTAAATTATTTTTTTATCGAATTAAGGCCTTAAACTAATATATGTAACCATTTTAAGTAACTAAACTATATTTTTTTGTCAAAATAAGTTCTGAAACTATTTTTTTTTGTTTTAAATCCCTAAATTATATTTTATCAAAGTAAGTAATTAATCTGTGTAATGTGTCAATATCTTATTAGTCGAAAAATACTTTCTAACTAAAAAATGATGAAACTTAAAAATATTTAAATATAATAATTTAAGAGATTAGTTTTACCAAAAATAGTTTAATTACTTAAAGAAAAAGAATGTATACTCTTTGATTATTTATAAATATTATTATTTTTAAAATACTTTTATTATTTCACATTTATCAAATTTATATATAATACTTAAAATTTATTGTTATTTATAGTGAAGTTTCCATATACATTATTTATTTATTTTCTTAATAATATTAACTTAAAAATTTTTGGCAGAGGCTTCATTAACTTTTTTTTCATTAAAAAAAATCTAGCCGCTCTCTCCCTTCCTCTTTTCCTCCATATTTTTTTTTATAAAACAAACGACTTCGGTGATAAAAGAATCATTATTATTTCTTAAATTTTCGAGTTCTAGCACCACGAATATTAAGAATATGAGCTTTTAATATCAAATGATTGAGAGTTATTTTTGAACATATATTGTATCGTACTTACCTTATATTAATAAAAAAATAGAATTTAAAATTAATTGGCTATAAACGCTTGCTTCCTCATTTTCTCAATCGTACTCCAACCGTTATCTTTTTTTTTAAGTTTTTGCTAGTAGACAGTGATATTAGTCTTTGTGCTAGTTATTGTCATCGCTATTTCTTTTTATTTCATTTTTTTTTCTAATAACTCTATCTTTCTATCACGATTTTTTTTTCTTTTTATAGCAAGTGTTTTCTATGCTTTTGACATATTTTTATTTTCTTTTTCGACGTTTGTCGTTTATTTTTTTTAAAGTTAACTTTAATATTGACACGACTGATCAATATGACACTCATGTGTTATCCCGTAGATCTTCCCTACTTTGGATCCTCTAATTAGATATGGATGCACAACCTGTGAATCGTAGATAGTTATCTCATGATGTTTGGCTCTGATTTGCTTTTTATCGGTGGTTTTCAGTAGTTTAATCTTATGTTGTTGTTCGTTTGCCATAGCAGTCGACTTTGTTTGTATCTATTTTTTGTTCGAATTTTTCTGGATACAATTTATATCTTTTCCTTGTATAGTCCTTGTATAATCTTGAGTGACTACTTTCTTAATGATTTTAGGAAAATATTCCAATTAAGTGTTTAGTTTATGATTTTTATTATAGTTTTAAGTATTTCTATTTCTTAATAAAATTAGTTGTTTCTATTTAAAAAAGTTTATTTGTTATAATAATTAATATTGTTTATAATTTAAACTTATATATATATATAACGATAGAATTATAATTTATACAATCAAGTATGACATGTAGAATTATGATAATTATATTATAATTATCAAATATGTATAGATAATTGAAATTCTAATTAAATGCGTAATTTTAATATATTAATTACATTTTCATGTAAGTACTATATAATGTCTAAATACTGATGAGTCTAGAAATATTTTTGAAGGTGGATATACATATGTTAATAATATAAATTTGTTGAATAGTATTGACATAAATAAGATTTCAGGATAGACAACATCAATAAATAAATATCTAATAAAAAATTTGAATTTTAAAAATGAATTTATACTATTAAAAAATAACATTTAGTATTAAAAAATGAGATAATTGACATTTACTAACAATATTTTTCCTATGAAAACTTTAAATTATTCATGCAGAATATGTATAAATATTTAAAAATTAATCTATATATTTTAAATATGTTCAAAATTTGACTTATATTGACATTTAATACTCAAACAAATTATTAAATTGATTAAAAAACTTGTTTGAATTAGTATTAATAATATTTTTTTATTAATTTAGGGCGATTACAAGTAGGGATGGACATGGGTCGGAGTTGGGTTGAGTTTCTGCCAATCTGACCCGACCCGAAAATTTTACATACTTCACCCATCTCGATCCGATCTGAAAAATATATACCCTCCACCCAACCCGATTTTCTATTATAAAATCTGAACCCAATTCGACCCGACCCGAAATAATAATAAAATATTTTTTTATTTTATAAAAATAGTGATTTAATTGAAAAAACAATATATAGAGGGGTATTATTGTAATTATTCATAACTATATAAGGTAAAATTATATTTTTTTTCCGGATCAGGTATTTTTCACCCTAAACCTGAATCGACCCTACTCGAACATCACATTTAAAAAACTGACCCGACCCGACCCCAAAATTTATTTTAAAAACCCAACCCGATCAGGTCGGGTTCGGGTCCCATGCCCATCCCTAATTACACGTGGTAATATTTATTTTAAATATTCTCAATCATTTGACAATGAATGCTCAAATAATTTGCAATTGTTGATGCACAAACTCGACACTTTTAAGGATAACAACAATCCCTATAATCACTACGATAGTTTGATTCGTGTTTAATATTAATAATTTAAAATCCTAATTAAAATATTTTAAATTTTAAAAATCAACAACTTTGTTGTTGTTGTTGTTGACAGAAGTCCTTGGTAAACGGGTACAAGTGGGTGGACGGTTCAATTCTGATAAATTCGGTGTTAGTTATGTTGCAGTACAGAAGCTTCTAATAAAGGAGCGGTACATATGTTTTAGTACAGACCGCTGGATATACTTTAGGCTAAATAACGTATTTAGTCAATAATTTATTTCTTTGTTTTTATTTTGATCATTAAATTATTATTTTTTAAATTTATTTTCAATATTTTGTTTTGTTTTTATTTTGATCTTCCAATTGTTAATGTTGACGCTAGGGGTGTTCAAAAGCTTAATTCGGTTAACCGACTGAACTGAATTACCCATATTTTTTTAACTGATTTTTTTCCCATTTAAACGTTAACTGCACCGATATTTTTCAAAGAAAAAAATAACACCCCTAAAGCAAAATAATATATATTGTATATTATATATTTTTATTTTATTCGGTTAATTTGGTTAAGGCAATTTAAATACCCCTAAAGCTAAATAATATATGTAATATATTAAATATTTAATAATTTCGGTTAATTTGATTAATTAACCGATTTCGAACCGAATTAATCGAAACATAAGTTTAAAAAAATATTTAACCGTTATTCGATCGAATCAAAAATTAATCTACCAAAATTCCTGTTCGATCGTTTAATTCGATTTTAACCAAATTTTGAACACCCTTATTTGATGCGATATTTTTTTAGTAAAAATCAACACAGATAAAAAAAAATTATCGGTAGTAAAATCAATTGGACACATAATCATATTATAAAATATATTTCAAGATAAAGTGAAATAACTTGGACAAAAATTGTACCAATTACGAAATTAAAAGATTAATATTTAATTAAAAATAGTATAAAAGTAAATATGAAATTATCAGTATAGTTATGAAATTAACCTTAAAAATAACAATGCTTTTAAGAAAAAAGTAAAATAAAAATTTAGACCACAATTAAAAAATTATTTTAAGGATTGAACTGAATAAAATGTAAAATTAAATTTAAAAATATATTAATATTAATTTTAATTAATATGTACCAACAGTAAAAATCGTTCACGCACAATTTCACCTTCATCAATAAATTTTATGACTATACTCAATTGTTATTTTTTAGATATGTCTCGAGATTCATAAATAATTATGTAAAACTTTGAATCACCAATCTTCTTGTATTTTTTACGCTTTTTGAGTAAAGATGTGTAAAATTTATTTTTAAAGGGACGAAAATATATGTTTTACATTTTGTGTAGTATTTTCTAGCATAACGTCTCGTATATTCTTATTGTAAAAAGAAAAGAATTTTAATATCTCGAGAAAATTCCCTCGATTTTTATACTTTGTTGTCTCATCATACCCCCTGAATGTATATTTTTTTTGAACGTGAGTCATTGTACAACTTCTACTTAAGCACTTAATTTGAGTGCGCTTGATCCCTAATATTATTGTCTCTTTCAATTTATGTCTCTCGACTGTTAACTTTCGTTAATTTATTAACGAAAATCTCTAACATTAACATTATTACTCCTTTCAATTCATGTCCCTCGACTGTTAATTTCCGTTAACCTATTAACGGAAATCTGAGTTGATAATTAAAAAATTAAAAAATAAAAAACCAGACCCACGTGTTTCTTTTTCGTCTTCATGAACTCTCAACCAACTCATGTGCTTCTTCTTCTTCTTCTTCTTCTTCTTCTTCTTCTTCTTCTTCTTCTTCTTCTTCTTCTTCTTCTTCTTCTTCTTCTTCTTCTTCTTCTTCTTCTTCTTCTCCTCCATAAACTTGCTTCATCGGTTCTGCTGTAACTCCAATCTCATGAAGCTGCATTTAATCACACATATATATATATAGTTTTTAATCATTACTGTAACAAATATCCACATTCTTCTTCTTATTCTTCTCACTCCTGTCTCTCTCTCTCTCTCTCATCTTCATTTCTCCGATAGCAACTCGCACTGAAAACCTACCGATAGTAATTCACTTTGTTTCAAGTTTAACTGCTCAAATACTGGAGCAGAAAGGGTACACTCGTTTCACCCTTCACTATATGAAGTGGTCTTTCAAAAAAAAAAATGCAATCTTCTTCTCATTTTTCTACTATATCAGTGATTTTAGTTTCAAAAACCATGATTTTCATTCTCCAACTTATAC